ATTAATCTGAAACATTAAGAATTTACAGGAAATTTGCAGATTTCCTGATCCTGCTGCCTTCCCCTTGCCCTCCATGTCTTTTTGTGCCCTGTTCTCCCCTTCCCTGCATCTTGCCTTCCCCACCCTGTCTTCAGCCTCTTTCCCCAGCCTTCACCCTTCCCTCTCCGTGCTCATTACCCCCACCCAGAGCTAAAAGATAACCCATTAGCTATCAGTTATCACTGCACTGATTGGTTATGGAGTTAATCGTATAAGTTTTCACATCCCTAACTAGAGGCAAGGCTTTTTTATGGCATCTTTTATTGGACCAACTGAAGAACAGCACTTCATGCAGCAAAGTTCGTCTAGCAACTCTTTTAACTGTACTGCTGGCCCAATACAAGATGTCACAAAAAAAGCCTTGCCTCATGTATTTCCTGGACCATCATGGCGACAACAACCTTAGACTTAGTGACTATACCAAATCCTTCAGTAGAAAATGCAACATGCATTTTACAGTAAAATCTGAGGGACTTTCAGTTATACACACACACAATCATTCTCTATAGAAAACATTAATTAGAGAAGTGAGATATCTAAAACATTATTTAGGATTAAACTACTAGAATATTTAAACCGACAAATTATTTTTTATAATTTACAGTCATACATACCTGCCTTCCCATATTCAGTAGCTGCACTATCATAGTCTGGTTTCCACTTTAAGAATCCAGTTTTCAAGCTGAAATGCAAAAAAAATTCATCAACTATAAAATGTTCATGCTTTATATTTAGAGCCCAAATAATCTTTAAAGGAATCCTGAAAAGCACCTAAGAATCTCTACATTAGATAAAAATAGAAGCAAAAAAAAGAAAATGGTTCACCTTGTGACACATCGGTAAAAATTCAGATGTTCCTGATTCATGGTTCTCGGAAGAGATCACAGCTTCACATAGCAACATGCAACAAACACTTATAACCAGTGGTTTTAAAAATTGAGAACCACAGATAACACAATTAGAAAAATCCATGATGTAAAAATATTTCCATCCTCAATATTATTTTTTACTCTAGGCATTTTAGTACTAGTAATGCAAGACTTACAAAAACACAATTTTTGGTGTTATTTGGCCACTTCACACCAATTCATGTCCATATTATTTTTGGCTTTTTCCTTGAACAAAACACTTTTGTTGCATGAAAATATAGGATCAAATACAAGACATTTATTTTACAGGAGTTTTTGAAAGTAGAAGCTCCCCCTTTCATTAGAGGAGCCTGAAACTATTCTCGTTGAGAGGACAGTTCAGCATAAATGCACTTTTGGTGGGTGACAATTTAAGAGGCATCTCACCTGGCCCCAGATGTTTTATAATGTTTTAAGCCAGTGAATCTCAATTTTAGACTCAAGGCACCACTCAGGAGACTCAAGACCCCGCCTGGAAAAATACCAATTCCTAATTGTCATTTGATGACAGAAAAATACTGGAGCGATTCTTCTGTCGCAAACAGCTTGGAAAGACTTCAAACATGGCAGCATGTTTTTGACATGGTGGATTCATACGTGAAATCTCTTGGTTTATCTTGTGAATCACCTTTCTACACCTAATAGTGATAACACTGCATAGCACCCTTAAAAGCATCTCACGGCACCCCAGGATGCCACAGCACCCTAAGAATCACTGCTTTAAGGTAACCCACGCTGATAGTACTTTTGATGCTTTCGACTGCCTGCCGCAATAACTTAAAACAGCACCGCTGGCACAACTATCCCATTCAGCACATCTGTCCTCACTGCCTGAACACAAGCAGCAGGGATCTGTCCTCAATTCCTGGGCCCACCAGACTATCCAGTGTCAACCTAGGGCAACATTAAGTGACTTGTTATAAACACTGGGCTGTCTCAGGAAGCCACCCATCAGTTTGGCTCCCCACAGGCTGACAGAGAACAAGACCTGACTGTCCCCCCTGCTCTCATCAGACCCCTTCTACCTAGGTGCCTTCCCCAGGCCTCCCACTCCCATCCCCTCCAGGTCCCTAATCATGGGGACATACGAGGCTTAATGTGGGGTCAGGCAGAAGGCTGGGCAGAGCAGGGGGCACCTCAGAGGCAGTCTGGCTCAAAGGGGCACAAGCCTGCTTTGAGCCAGGGATACCGCCAAATGGTTCAATGCAGCATAGGTGGGCCCAGGGCCATGGCAACGCCTCCCAGGTTTCCAGTATGGGGGTGCAGGTCATCTGTCTTCCCAGGGAGCAGTGAAGGAGGCACCCCACCCTGAAAGCTCCATCCCACCAGGTGTTGCCCCTGCCCCACCCCCACCCGCCAAGGGTAGGTTCTGTCTCCTCAGGCACCCCCACCCCACCAAGGTTCCATCCACCTGAGTCTCCGCCCCCTCCGCAGGAAGGTTCCATCCCCCTGAGATCCCCCCCACGAAGGTTCCATCCCCTCAGGCACCCCCGGCCAAGAGTCCATGGTTCCATCCCCGAGACACCCCCCACCCCCTCGCCCAGAAGATTCTATGCCTTCAGGCACCGCCCCTACACCCGCGAAGCCCCGCGCGCTGTATTCTGCGAGCGGCAATTCTCCTCCACACTCCCCCCCCGGCGTCCTCATGCCGTGGGAAGCGGCTGCGGATCCCCAGAGCACCCCCTCACCCCCCCAAGCCCCAACGCCCAGCTATACGAGGAAGGCAAAGCGCCGGCCCCGCTCACTATTTATCGGCCTTAGCGATGTGCTCCAGCGCCTCGTTAATTTTCTGCGCCGCCATCGCGCACAGGCTGGGCAGGGGCCGCGGCCACTGCGCCACTACGTCAAAGAAGGGCGAGCTACGGCGCGCCGTGAGGCTCAGTCAGCGGAGCGGGCAGGGCCCTCCTTCCTGCCCCGAGGCCACTGCGCCTGCGCGCCACGCGGGGGTGGGGCGAGGAGTGGGAGGGGAGGTGCGAGGCTTCGCGCCCTCCCCCGGGGCTGGAGGGTTAGCTTGTGCTCGCACGGGCCTGGCTGCAGAGGCTTGCGTAGTGCGCTGTCCACGTCCAGCAGCAGACCTGGCCGCGTCCTCGGGGGCTTCCCCCTGCTGCTGCTGTGCATGGCACCCTCACTTCTGCCGACACGTGCCATCATCACCCCTACATTTGCCCTGCGGGCTACTCTAGCGCAATGCTTTTCAACCCGTGCGGCCGGACCCGAAAGTGTAGAATGTATGAAAGGGTTATGAACAAACTTGAAAAATGGATTCTCCTTTAAAGGAGAAAAACAGGAAACCAGGGCTTTTCCCTCACAGGCTGGCAGAGTTCCAGCCTGCAAGGGGCTGCTTGGGGGGCCCCCCATTCCTTCCCCCCCCCCCGGCAAACCCACACATACAGGGCAGGGGGGCAGGAGTGAGGGGCATTGGGTTGGCTATCAATGTTTACAAATGGGTCCTGGTCCTGAAAAGTTTGAGAACCACTGCTCTAGCGGGCCTCTGGAGACCCCTTCCAGCCCTGCTTCTCTGTGTGACCTCAGATGGGTCTTAAGGCTGGTCACAGAAGGACTTGGGCACAACCGACTTGCCCAAAGCTTGAGAGCAAGACAAAGCTGTCAGCAAACCTAGAGCATGAAAGAACTGGGCTCATTTAGCCTGGAGAAGAAAAGACTGAGGTGGGATTTGATGGCAGTCTTCAACTACCTGAGGAGATCGGCTTTTCTCTCTGGCCATAGGGCAGGGGTTCCCAGCCTTTTTAGACTGTGGACTGGCAAGCCATGGACCAGAAGTGACTGCAGACCTGCAAACTCCAGTCTGAAAGTGACCGTCATCATGAACACCATGTGCCCCTGGATGTTAGGGGGCACAGCAAGTTCCTGCAGGCAGTGGCAGCGCTACTGGCAGCGGGAGCATGGCGGCAGCAAGCAGGGAGCTCCTACAGGTGGCCACATTTCTGTCAGCAGTGGTGGGGAGGGGTGGCAAGCGCTGAGCAGCAGTTTGCTGGCCAGCTGCAGGCGCCAGTGGCAGTGTCGACAGGGTGGGGAGTGGTGACTGCCTGCAGGTGCCACCAGCAGTGTCAGCAGTACCTTTTCACAGGGGGTTCACCGCCAAGCTCAGGGGGTGCTCATGCACCCATGGGCACCCCCTATGCATCACCAGTGATCAGTATACTGCAAAGCGGCAGCCAACCTTTTTTTATACTCAGGGTTGGCTGCTGCTTCGCAGTATGCCGGGCATTTCCAGACTCCCAGTCTGGCAGCCAACCCTTCGCGGCCTGGTACTGGCCCCCAGTCCAGGGGGTTGGGAACCTCTGCCATAGGGGACAGGGGTAGAAGCAACTGCTTCAAGCAGCAGCACAGGAAATTTTGGTTGGCGATTAAGAGGAACTTCCTGACGAGGAGGGTGGTGGTGCATTGGGACAGGGCAGATGAAGCTGCCTAGTGACACTGTGGAATTTCCATCCCTGGAAGTTTTCAGGAATAGGCTGGACAAACGCTTGGCTGGGATGGTTTAGTCAGGACTCACTCTGTGTGGAGCAGGGGGGCTGGACAGTGTAAGTTACCCTCCAGCCCCATTTACCTATGATCCTATGGGACTTCCCACTCTTTATTTTTTTTTAATTTCTATGAGGCTTTCGTATGTAAAACAAGACCAAAATACTCCCAAACAAATTGTTTGTTAGTGAACAGCCACATTTCTCTTACATACACATGCACCCCTGTGTTTTATTTTTTTGTACCAAGGTTACCTCAGCAGTCAGAAGCGAAACAAGAAATATGCCACCACATAACAGGAATTACTTAATACCCAGATTTATTATTGGACTGAATATGCATTGACTCTTGTGACTGTAGCTATGATTTTACTCTGTGATTTTACTCAGAGTTAAATCGCATCACCTATCCTAGAGCACAAAAGAAGAATAGAAGGAGGTTTCTTTTTGCAAGAGCAGGGCTGATCCCCTTGAGTCCTAAAGAGTGCACTAAAAAAAACATTCAGCTAATGGTGCATCTCACCACGATTGCCACTGACCACCACCAACATTGCTGGCGGCACCTGTGGGTGGTTGCCAACTCCTGGTTGGTGCTCGCCACCTCCCCCCCACCGTCGACAGTGCCAGCAGCATCTGCGGGAGCTCCCAGCTTACCACTACTGTGCTCCTACTGCTGCCGCTGCCCTCCTGCCGCCACCAGCACAGCCATGCCCCCCGCCACTGGGAGCACATGCTGTTCATGCATTTCACATTATGTACCTGTGAATTATGACAAAGCATGAGCTGCTGACATGTCAGGATAAGACTGGAAGAGACCTTTGAGCCATCAAATCCAGTCCCCTGACAACCATTTAGTTAAGGAATCCCCCAAAATCACCACTTCAGACCCTCTCACACAACTAAAAAGCACTTTTCACTGAAACATCAACCACACCCTAAAACAGGGGTAGTCAACCTGCCACATGAGTGGCACAGGCAAGCTGTCTGTACATAGCACATGGCAGATCAGGGAAGATACAGCACAGCAGCAGATGGGACAGGAAGCAAAAGGCAGAGCAGGAGATCAGGGAAGGAGCACAGGGCAGGAAGCAAAATGCAGAGCAGCAGATTGGGCACAGGAAGGGGATAAGAGTGGCACTTAGGAAGAGTGTGGGGTGGATTTGTGGCCCCAACTTGCCTGATTTGTGCCCCCAACCTGCCAGAAAAGTTGGCGCCACTGCTTTAAAAACAAGGGTTTTTAAAGGCTGGGGGCCAGATTGTCCCAATTTGTGTCAGAGGCAGGCTGGGGGTGGACCCTGTTTTTCCCTGCCACCAGTGTGGGGAAAGTGTCCACCAGAGAAAAGCAGTGGCAGGCATTTTCTCTGCACAGGGAAAAGACCTGCTGACATCAATTTTACCTGTGCCCACAGCCATCACTTTCCCCATGCCTGCTGCTGCTGCTTTTCCCCATGCTGACATAGGGAAAGCAACTCTGGCTGAAGCCCCATGTCTGTGGGCCAGATCAAAAGACTCCACAGGCTGGATATGGCCTACAGGCCATAGGTTGCTGACCCCTGCCCTAAAACAATCCTTAAGTATAGGAGGAGACAAGGGCACTGCCAATGCTCTGCCATTGCAATTACAAGGGAGCGGTTGGTTAATATATGCTCAAAAGATTGTAGGAAAAGGACAAAGCAAAAACTGCACAGTCCATGCCAATGTGACCTAAGGAAATATTCCTTCCTGATCCCAAAATTTGGTGGAATATCAAGACCCTTTAGCCAGGGACTTCTTATTTTGCTGAGTACCAGCCACAGCATGCCCCAACCCCTCCTTTAGCTGTGGCTGTCATCCCAGTGTTTCAGAGAAAGACAGTCCCAACTGCCTTCGCATCCGTTAGTAGCATTCATGA